CTTTAGTAGGTCGTATCCTTTGTGAGACGAACGAACACCCGTGAAGTGAGACGTGGAGTAACAGACAGACGCACGGACAGACAGACAGACCCAATGAAAAGCACTAAAGTGCAAACCCTCGGCGAACTGGGCATGCGCGGTACCACTAATTGGTGGGCTGGGCTGGTATTAGTATGCGTTTACTCGTGGTCTCCCGCTAGTAGCTCGCAGAGAGTCTGACACTGGCTAGCTACAGTAGTAGATAGCATGCGAGAGTCGATACACTCCCTTCGTTGTGACTTCTTTGCTTCAAGATACACAGAACAAGCGGACCCGGTCGAGGCTGTTGAAAATATAAGCGCATGCGCGTTTTCCGCAGCGACAAAAATGGCCGACTACGCATTAGCCGTACAATGGTGGAAGCACTGTAGCTTTGCAACGGAGCGTTTTTTGAGAAAACCGCCTTTATTTTCTGACCTTCGTCGCCCGTTAGGTAGGTCGTATCGTTTGTGAGACGAACAAACATTCCAGAAGTGAGATTTAGAGTAACAGACAGACAGACAAACCCAACTACAGTACCCTCGCTGCGCTTGCGCGCCGAGGGTTAATGATAAAGTGCAAAACCCTCGGCGGCATGGTACCACGCATGTGGGTCTGGCTATGTGTAAGTGCTAGTCTAGCAATATTACTTGTCACAATCAGAGTGTGTGACTTTAGGCCAATCGAAGACCCAGACTGAGCAGGCCTGAAATGGGAATAAACAGTGAAATGTCCTAAAGCCTAGGAACATGAAAATGGAAGAACGACAGAAACTACCATCATCTCATCAAAAATCACAAGTACACAACATCACGCGACATATCATACAACAATTTGGTTCCAGGATTGAGAATATCACCATCACGAACCCAAGTATCAGGAAAAGTCGGAGATTATTAGAGAGTCAGTAGACTCTCTATATTGTAGGGATGACGCGGGTGAAATCTCACGTGATCTGCGTACAAAACGACTAAAAACTCGGTGAGAATCACTCACTAGGCCTTCAAAGCATACTAGCAATAGTCTACGGGCCCATATCTACCTATACATGTCCTCCAACACCTCATATGCACCTTCAGTCGTCCACGCCAATATTCGCTCATTCGCGATTTCGTGTCATTATAATTATACTTACCGGAAGCTTGAAGCGTTGATTTTTCACAGAACGTCTCCGAATTTGCCGGAGGTGTGCACGCATATCAATCGATCGTTTGTTTCTTGCCGCAAGTCACTACGGTAGATCGTTGAGCTCTTCCTCGGTAGTCACTGAACAACGCCATTTGCTGCTAACTCAGCATCAGTGAGCCGCATGCGCCGAGGAGGGCGTTTCCAATGCGGTGAGCGCGCATTTTGTCTCGTAAACCTGGTCCACGTACGAGACTAAGCCAGGACTGGATGCCTGCAGAGAAAACTACTCTCATCCTCCAGTGCCTTCTGTAAGTCAGTGAACACATTTGTAAGTGGCTAGCTTGCGTTTTGCTGTTGATTTGCACGAGGAGCAACTTGGCAATCTGCGCCGTGTTACGCGTGCCTTGCCAGGCGCCTTCATTGTTTGTCCCCCAGGTTGTAGCTGTCATTGTAGTCTGATTTCTGAAGCCTGCCCAATGAAACCACCACCATTTTATTATGTGCTACAACTTAATCGCGTCCCTTGTTGGAGGCACTACGCATACACCCTGCTTCAGGTAAGAGCAGTCCATTAGCTTCTGCTTTCAACAGTTATCTCTACAACAAACCCATGAACATCAGAGTGACTGAAAATGCAGTGTTGTCATAAGCCATCAAAAATAGTGAAAACAAGTGGAAAAATCATTGCAAGGCATCCCTATATCCCCCTTCATTTTGAAGAAATGATTTTTCCACTTGTAATAATACTGATGAGCAAAGTGAGCTAGTCCTGGGAACAAGGGCTGTTAGCTAATGCGTGCGTATGCGCGCGTGTTCTGAAGGGCTGAAGGAAAGCAGAAGGCTCTGTAAAACGCGTGCGAGGCTAGCGTTCATCCGCAACCTTTGCTAAGAGTTGGCATCCATTAACCTCTGTGACCAGTGGAAGACAAATGACAGCTGTGGAGTAATCTACCGACGAAATGTCACCTGGACTGTAAAGGGAAGCCTCCGGGAACAATTCTACGTCCGAAGGTGTGATGAAAGATGCTCTAGCTCCTAGTGTTAGCCCTAGCCTTTGAACTAGGCCCTAGCCCTAGTTCCGATTTCTAGGGCAAGAATTTAGCCCTAGAAGATTGGTTTTGCCATAGGGCCTAGCCTTGTAGCCCTAGAATATTTTTTGCCATAGCAACTAGCATTCTAGCCCAAGAGCAATAATTTTCCCCTAGAATTTTTTTTTGCCCTAGCTAGAACTATTTTTGGCTAGGTTTTTTTAGCAACAGGGCATTTTTTTCTATTATTTCATATTTTCTAAGGCCAACTTCCAGTTTTTTGTCCTATTGTGTTTTTTTTGTTGAGGCAAATTGTTAGTGTTGCAGAGGTGTTGAGTTTCCTGGTTACTTTCTGAGTATTGTAATTTTAATGACATTGCCTTGCATTACTGGAGTAGACACTAGCTTCCTTGGCATAATTATCAGCATTGCAGGAGAGCATGTCTTTGAGTCAATTTTGTGCACAAAATATGTATATTATGTAGATAATCAGTGCATTGAAACTAGTGGTGGAGTGCTAAAGCGGAGAAAGTTTCAGTACTAAACATGAAGAGGGATAGGTGCCATCAATGCCAAGTCACCAAGACAGTGGGTGTTGTGTCTGCAGAGTGAGGCTGTGCAAGCGAGGGTTTGCACTTTAGTTAACCCTCGGCGCGCATGCGCAGCGAGGGTTGGTCTGTGTGTGTTTGTGTGTATGTGTGTGTGTGTGCGCGTGTGTGTGTCTGACTATTCTCGCACTACACGCTACGAGGCGGCCTAAGAGCGATACCAAACGCTTCAGTGCTACAAGCGCATGAAAACTAAAATGCCGTTTTTACTGCGTTCGAGAGATATGCCGTGAAAACAACGCGCGACCCGATCTGCTCGCTCTGTGTACCTTGGGGGCTCAGGAAGTCACAACGAATGGCTCGACTCTCGCATGCTATCTACTACTCTAACTAGCCCGTGTCAGACTCTCCGCGAGCGGGAGACCACGAATGACATTAGCAGTATTGCACATGCGCAGTTCGCCGAAGGTTTGCACTTTAGTGCTTTTCATTTAGGAAATGAGTCATTCTATGAGGAGCACACTCATACTTCGCGACAATATAGGGATTGTATGGAGGAAAATGTACAGTTTTAGCGAGCAATGTCAGTTTGCTGGGGAAACTGCAAACGTGGAGGCCCTCGGTTTCATTGAAATCCGGTATGTCCCTTGCAGGAGTGCGTACCATGGGCAACTTGGGATACTAGGAGATTTGATAAACTCGCACTGAGGCAAAAGTGGACCATGTGAAGAATAGACCCAGGGTCTTTTTGCTCAGTTAGTGTAGCATTATTTTACTGAGAAGATTACAGTGTATACGCAGGTCTATTGCGCCAGTGCAGGTAGCTATTAACAACATATTCCACACCCTCCCTGAAAAGAACTACAGACAGCTACAGACAGTCACCAGACCTTGTATTGTCTTGCACAAGGGTCCTGTTTGCGTGACAAGTCATTATTGCAGCAAAATAGGTAGCAGCTAGCTACAACATTTTTGAGAAAGACTAACAAAAATACACCTTATTTATTCAGCTAAATAGATTTATGTAGAAAAAGGTTATTATTTACGAGTCTGATAAACCAGATCAAAGTAGCTGGCCACTGAGTCCCATTGCTCTGCAAACTGTTCCACACTGGTGGGTCTCAAAAAATCTCTCAATTCCTTTTCGACCGAGATCTGTTTGTCCATAGAAACCAGCCGAGAGGGAATTAATTGCTGGATCGATTAGGGTCACACAATATGACCCTGACTCTATCCCCTGGAGGTCGCATATTACAAGGGACTTCCTCGACACCACCCAAGTAAAGTGGCTGAAAGACTGCAGAAGCTCAGAATGAGGAGATTCGCTGCACACTACGCCAGCGTTGTTGCTGTACTTCTCCACCTTTCCGTCCAGGAAGGTCTCCAAGAGATAGTGGTCTTGACCAGGACAGGACACCACATCCACCGGGGTTACTTCCAGCCTGGCTGACCCTGGTGGCTTCGTCTTGTCATTGAAGAGCGTGGCATATGTGGTGCAAATAGCACGTACTTTAATCTTATACATGTAACAAGCGGGGCTGTTAAACTGTGCTCCAACTCGTTTGTATCTTTTCAAAGCAATTGCTCTCTTGCTGGTTAGGTCATAGCCGTGGTAGACGATACACTCACTGCCCTCGGCAAAAGGATTCGGAGCACATTTGAAGGTGATTGGAATAGATGGTGGTGTGAGGGTTAGTCCAGCTTGGAGATCAGGAAGAGACTTTATGCCGATTGCTGGTGACTTTTCCCCTTCGGTTTGGGAAATTAATCTCCAGTTGGGAATGATAGGATCGAGCTTGTACGTTCTCAAGGGGGCTCTCATAGCAAATGCAGTACCAATGATGCTCGCAGAAACTGAGCGACACACGGCGGCTTCAACGTCAGATGGGTTCATGGCATCAAACTGCCTGATCATGTGGTGCTGGTTGCTGATTTCTTGAAGGTATTACTGAAGATGGATATCATTTTGTCGGTTTTCTCTCGGTCGATGTAGCCAAACCAGTAGTCGATATCTAGATTCTTGACCTTGGTCATCATCTGTTGGGTGGGTGATTCCATCCCTGTCACCATCAGGGTAGTTGTCTCCCATATTGTCATGGTACATTCTACCATGACAGGGACAGTCAGCAATGTGTACGAGGACCTGAAAATTTTTACAAGAGGATGACTATGCACACTTAGACAAGTAACAACTAGGTATATTACATTTGATATGTGCTTTCTAGAGAAATTTGTATTCAGTAGAGACAGCCGCATAATGTGTATAGAGCAATATTCTTTGAGGGGCATAATCATAACCAAACAATGAAAAGCACTAAAGTGCAAACCCTCGGCGCTAAACGTGCGAGTTGTATGCTGGGCCATGCGTCATCGACGGAGCCAGTAACACGAGTCTCGCTGTAACACAGGGTAGTTGCATTAGCGGTTAGAGCAATTGCTCAGGTGTTTCAGAGGCTCTCATATTTGCTTTATTCAATCTATCCGCTCTTCTGTGTTTCAATGCTCTTGCCAGACGTTTTATAAATGGGAAGGCATGGCTGCATCCACTAACTGCTCGCCACCTGAACTATTATGCTACATTGCGGACATACCTTGCTCAGCATGTTTATCCATTGAGAACAGAGGTCAAAACTGCGGAAGCCCATATATCGTATATATTTAACGTGCGTAGCGCATGCTCCAGCGAAAATTGATATGACGCGTGCGTGCTATGTAGCCTGCCGGAGAGGGTGTGCGATCGACCGCACGTTGCCTCTTTCGCTTGTTTTCACGAAGTATCTCTGGAACGCAGTCGTTTTAGGAAAATCGGTATCCATCTTCTCCTTGTTCACAACCTGTTGGTGCCACTCATTGCCCGCCTCGTAGCCTGTAGTGCGAGAACTCGCGCGGACAGACAAACAGACAGACAGACAGACAGACAGACCGACCGACAGACCAAGTACCGTAACCCTTGCTGCGCATGCGCGCCGAGGGTTAACTAGTTAGCTATGACTGCAAGGTCTGCAGTCTCAGATCCTGGCCAGTGATAATGTGCTTGCCTGGCCAGTGATAATGTGGTTCTTTGGCACATTGCCTAGAGAGAGCAATCTGCATTCTGTACTCTGGGTAGCCTATTCAATTTCGGGATGTGCAACTAACATGCCAGTAACATTTATGTGTAGTTCACCATCATCGCCCTCAGGAAAGCAATATACACACTATCCAACTATGGCTTAGGGAGGAAGCTGCAACCAATTCAAATGGCTCCCTTTTTCAGTTCGCACATTGTCTGAGAAGACATGAAATACGGCAAACTTCTACTTTCTCGGCCTCGCTAGTTACTGCTGTCAATGATTTCAGCACAACCCTACATATAAATTCTTTTTTTACTTTATGGATGCTCTGAACACATCACATGTGTATGTCAGCTCATTAAGTGTTAAATTTGAAAAATGCCCAACATTTTTAAATCACAACAAAATTGCAGAATGCCCAGGCATCTGTACATGATAAACAGTGGTAGCTATGCACCTGTACTGTTGCTACACTTACCCGGGAACTCTTAGACCTCCAGGTGAGTTTGTTTAGGGCAACTTGCAGTCCTCCCATAACATCTTCTGGTCCATCACCTCCACCTTGGGCACTTATGCCACCAACAAAGGAGTTGAATTGGGACTCATCACTAGAAGCAGGAGAAGGGATATAATTGTAATTATAGTGATCATAGTTGCTGTCACGTGACCATTTTTTTTTCATTACTGTACTATATATAAGTTTTATGTCTCTTTACACTGCCTGACTACGTAAGTATAGTTCACTAGCGTCGGTAGAGCTCTATATAGGGATTGCCACAGGTGAAATCTTACGTTATCCGCGTGCAAAAACGCCACAAAACTCGGAGATAATGACTTGCTATGCCTTCAAAACACACTAGCAATAGTCTACGGGCCTATACATCTACCCAAAGACCTCAACAACACCTTCACTTCTCCACGCGAGACTTCGTTCATACGCGAGTTCACGATTTTCATGTCATCATCATCATAACTAGTGGAAATGTTGTGACATCGTTGGCGAGCGGGAGCGACCCAACTTGGGATTTGCCCGCGATGTTCGGGATGCATAACGTGCCGTCAGCACACAGCTCTCCTTTCGTGAAGTAAGACAGATCTACATGTCGCCGTTTCATGCGTATTGTACATTGGCAGAAACGGTGAGCAGAACGGAGTTACCTTACACTTTGTGTAAAATAAGCGTGTACAAAGCCGCGCATGCGCATTTGCACGACGTACAAACGATAATTGGCGAGCGGGAGCTAGTCGTTCGTTCGAGCGGAATTTTCAGTATTATATATCGTTGGTACGTCGTGTTAATGCGCATACGCGGCTTTGTACGCGCTTCTTTTTATCCGGAACTATTTCCAAATTTTTACACATTTTCGCACACGGTGCCTCTCGACATGCGCCGATCGTAGCCAGCGAGAGAACTCTCCTCCATTCGACGGCATTCGGTGACTGACCGAGGCTGTATATACCTCTTCCCAATCTTCATGGTTCCAAGATGCAACTTGCAAATGCGCTAGGATTCCTCGTGCACATACTGCTGCATGCCAGCTGCCTTTTGGACCATGACTGACGAGCTGAAAGCGTAAGGTAAGTACCGTTCTGCTCACCTGCCCACCTTTCTGCCAATGTACAATACGCATGTAACGGCGACAGGTAGATCTGTCTTGCTCCACGAGGAAAGCTGTGCGCTGACGGCACGTTATGCAGCCCGAACATCGCGGGCAAATCCCCAAGTTGAGTCGCTCCCGCTCGCCAACAATGTTCAACATTTCCACTAGTAAATAAACTAGTAGGCGAATGCAGGGCATTTTTGGCGAGCGGGAGCGAGCACACAATGACTGTATCTGCACGAGTCATCCTAGCCTCTTGAACCTTAGAACCACGAAGATTGGAGAGAGGTATATACAGCCTCGTTCAATAGCTCAGCGAATCCCAGCGGGAGTTCTGGCTAGATTTCGCAAAGATATGACAGCTAGGCAGCGTGTGAAAATAAGTGCGTTCACGCAAGCGACTCTGATACAGATGAGCCTCTTTCTGCTCAGTCTCACTATGTTCTCTTTCCCTCTCTCTTCGACGAAGAAGGGCACCTTCTCAGGACTGATCCTCCATGATTGCGAGAGTACGACACAGGCGTATACGCACGTATACATGTTTTCGGATAAAAAGAAGCGCGTAATTTTGACGCATGCGCACTTGCACGACGTACTAACGGTCGTATATAAAAATCGCGCCATTCGTACCACTAGGTTATCTCGCTCCCGCTCGCCAATAAATAGAAATATCGGCCCGTTGCGACGACTAGGTTGGCTCTCTCCCGCTCGCCAAATATTCTTCATCTTCGTCTAAATTCGCTATCTCCTTACCAAAACCAGTTGAAGCGCTGATTTTTTCGCTGAACGTCTCCAAATTCTCTGCAGGTGTGCATGGACATCAAGCGATCGCTTCCTTCTTGCCGCAAGTCACTACGGTAGATCATGGAGCTCTTCCATGGTGAAACTGAACAACGCCATTTGCCGAACAGGGTCGGGCCGCCCGGCGGGGGCGTTGTTCCTGCGCTGCGCGCACGCATTTGGCCTGCAGTGGAACTCTCAGCCTCCAGGTGTCTGCAAGTCCCGTGTATATACACATTTCCAATTTTGCTGTTGAGTTGCACGAGGACAAACTGGGCAGTGTCTGCGCGGTGTTATGTAATAAGTGTACACAAATAAGCCTTCATTCTTTGTCCTTGTAGTCTGATTACTAAAGCCTGCCCATAAACCACCACCATGTGCCACAACCTAATTACATCCTTGTTGAGGTACCAGCAGCCCATTAGCTACTGCTTTGAGCCGTTATATAATATATATATATATATAATATATTATATATAATTATATATATATATAATATAGTTTGTCCAGGGTAGATAACCACTCTACAACACCACCAAATGAACAAAAATATGCAGTGTTGTTATAAGCTGTGAAAAATAGTGGAAACAAGTGGAAAAATCATTTCTCTAAAATGAAGGGGATAAAGGGATGGCTTGAAGCACGTAAAAGGAAGAAACAAGGGGTCCAAAAAGCTACATGACAGCATCCCTATATCTTTGTTTTATTGTTCATAAGCAAAATATATTATCAAACAAAGATATAGGGATGGTGTCATGTAGCTTTTTGGATCTTTGCTGTGTAATGACCCCTTGTTTCTTCCTTTTTGGTGCTTCATATCGCCCTTCATTTTGAAGAAATTGATTGTTCCACTTGTTTATATACTACAAAGAAGCTTTCTTGACTGTAGGTTTGCCCGTTCAACCTTCACAATAGATTCGGTTGTCAATCAGACATTTAGCTTTGTAGCATGATGCGTGGGTGTATCAAAGGTGCCGACAATACAATTGAACAGTTTGAACGGTAGAATTTATTGAACGGTGTCGCTCGGGCTGGCCAACTGTCTCAGGAGCTACCAAACTTTCTGGGAGCTACTCCACGGGTGGTAGTCAAGCCTTCGTTGGGCCATCAACGCGTGGGAGCTCGACCATTCGTTGAAAATCTTTCTACAAACCAGTTAAAGCACCGTTCACGCTCGTGTACAGTTATTATTGAACTCGGTTTGCGGTCTCGGCGGCTACACCTCGTGTGTTATCAGCTCTCGACCGCAAACCATGTTCAATAATAGCCGCAGTACACTCTCACGGTGCTTTAACTTATACATAATGCAGTAAAATCTAACTTGGTAAAATCAAGATGAGTGGTTCTGTTGCAGGTGACATCGTAGTCGGTGTATCTGACAAAAGCAAATTGGAGGTCACATCCTCGGTGTTGCTTCACCAGATCTTCCCTCAAGTTCTTCACACTATTCTTGACAGCCTCAATGTGACTGGCCATTGAGCCAGTGCAATCTACCATAAAGCATAGGTCCACCTGTGTGTTTATAAAAGATTATGACTGCCTCTACAATGATTATGACATGTTCAGCATGCAGGCCTCAAAACCAGCTTCTCGCCAGAGGCTATTACAATCAAAAAATAATACTGCAGCTGAAGGTGCTACCTACATTAATAGGGAATATTACTTCTATTCGGGCCTAATAATGAGGCTAATCACTTGGTCAAAGATGTGAAGTGAGGGAGATTGCAGTATTCAGTTGAATAGGAAGTGTGCTAGAATACAAGTAAAACTCTTTTCCATGGACACCCCTTTTGATTTGATTAAAGGACATTTCTCTTTGTCAAGGAAAGTTTACTACTTATGATTGTCAATTGGTGTTAACACCATGGCCAGGATTTCAATGTTGGATGCTCTGAGGTTGTTTATGAGGCTCTTTGGCAAGGCATTTCTACAAACATCTAGCTACTGTGCTTAGCAATGAGGAAACATCATTTCAGCATGAACACATAATGTCAGCCGGTTGTGTAAGCCACAATCTACTTTTACCATGATTTTTTTGTATGGTTGATATATTTTGCTGATGTAAACATAAGGAGTCAAATTTGTATTTTACTGATTGCATGGTTCATGAAAGGGGGCGTAAGTAGGCTTTTTCAATTTTCTGGAGGCTCTCTCTGCACCCTTAGCCCCATCAATCATGAAGCAGTATACCCCCTCTATTACGTTTAAACATGGGTACTGTTATAAAAATAGGTTGTTCTTTTGACTTTTTTCTCATTACCGGCATGCACCACCTGTTGTCATTACACTTAGGTTACTAGTAGTTTCATCCCCAGACCCCATCCTCAGGAGAGGAAAAGGGTCTGGTGACTATTGAATGTTTTCTTGGTTATACTGACTCACCATTGCCGAGTGCATGCACACAAAAGCCGATTTTAATTCGTGGACACCCGGAGTTCACGGTGTTGCGATACGAACTAACGCATAACATCATGTGTTAACAACTAGGTAGCGAGGTAGAATAATACTCAGGTGGTTGCCATAGCACTAGGGCCATAGACCACGCACCCAGAGCAATGGGCGGAACTGTTAACAAACGAACATACACCATATCAACGTGAGGTGTCTGTCACACCTAAGGGAAGGCAAAGCAAACAAGTCAACTATATACACTCAGGACAGCTCTATCTTTAAAAGACGACCTGCATGGGTGGGATTCAAACCCACGACACTCTGCTTTCTAGGCGAGCTCTCTACCATCTGAGTAGTATTTCACGCTCATGTCGAATACTGCAATCTAATAATTCTGGGTATCTACCAAGAAATCACTCAAAAGTCACTAGACCCTTTTCCTTTCCTGAGGATGGGGTTTCAGCATAAGACTAGGTTACTATTGTCTTTGAAAATAGGAGGTATTATATACTGCTGTGTGCCATTGATGCACAGCATTCTTCGTATATACATTTTGAGAATGAGGTTAACCTGCTTAGAGCTACAGAGATTTTGAACGGCAGCAAAAGTGGGTGGTTTCAGGTAGCTCCACAGCTTTGGTTCAGTGATCTGCAAGTCTACAGACTATGGAGTTCATACAGTCCCTTGGCTCATAAATAAAATGCAAGATGTTTCCTGGTGCAGCATCATGAAATTAATCAATATCTCGACCCATGCAGCTTTCGCTTAATGGTATATAAGAAATGTGAGACTAAAATATGTAACTACCTGCTATCTACCTGATTGCAGTCCCTTGGTTTTTAACCACAGAAAATTCTGTTGTCATGTAAAGCTATAAGATTATTGTCGACCCAAGCTACATGTCAGGGGCAGAGATACTAGGGGGGCAGGGAGTGCTTTGGCACCCTCACTTTTTGAGGATGGGGGCTGACCCCACCCCCCCTCCCACGCCTCGCACGACTTGGTTTTGGACAGAGCCCCCCCCCACCTGACTCTCCGCAAGCAATAAGCAGTACTACGTATGAGAAAATTTAGAGCTTCTTACTAACACGTCAAGAATAAAAACTCATGAAGGTTGTATAATGCTTCTTCTGTATAGTATAATTTTCCCAAATTTCTCATTGAGATTTCAGAGGCAGTATTACAACTGCAGGAAATGAGTTTCCTTCTCAGAAGAATTCACATTATTACTATGCAACTTATGAATTTCACACCCAAGAAGGAAACATACCTGGGAATTTGTGATGTTTAGGTCGCTAGATTCCTTCTGGATTAATAGTGTGTCTTCCTTCCTGATCGTGTAGTCTGTGAGCGTGAGAGCCTTGCCTTCTAGTGATGTTGGCAGCAACGGTTTATGGCGAAGGAAAAGCTTGTGATTAGTAAGGCTGAATCTAGTAACTCTCTCCACATCCTTTAGCAGAGCTGACACAGGATAGTTCTATGAAACAATGATTATAAAAACACCACTACATTGCCATTACCATTCTTTGTCTTACATAGAACTTGTCTGTGCCGATAGGAATTTTATACTTCTGGCCATTGACTGCTTGAACATAGACCACGGTCAGGTCCAAACGAAAAACTGTGCCATCCTGTATTTCACGGTACTCAGAGAGCTTTTTCTTATCATCACTCAAGACGATACGTCCCCCTGCAAAAACAGCGACATTATTAATAAGAACTTTCATAGCTACAAGTGGAAAAATCATTCTTCATGGCTCAAAACGTGAAAAAGGAAGAAACAAGGGGTCATCACACAGCTAACACACATAATGCTACATGACACCATCCCTATATTATCTTTATCTGATGTTTTTCTTGCATATGAATAAAATATCAACAAAGATATAATTATAGGATGGTGTCATGTAGCTTTGTTTGTCTTAGCTGTGTGATGACCCCTTGTTTTCTTCCATTTTCATGTTTTGAGCCATCCCTATATCCCCCCTAATTTTGAAGAAATGAATTTTCCACTTGTTTCCCTTGTTTTTTAGACTACGCAGCTCTGATTTGCAATGATAGCTATGTTGTAAAGGGGTTGACTATAACAATATTGTTGACCACTGCCTGCACAGTATAAACAGCATTATGAGTTAGGGAGGCAGGGACACTGAAAAACCAGCATAGTATATATAATTATACACAGAGCAGTAACTAATGGCTGCTGACAGCAACCCAGAGACATAAAGACTGACCAGCTAGGGTTCCAAGGAGGTAATTTGGTTAAAGCGTCCATTAGTAGTAAGCCTACAGTGTTAGTTACAAGGCGGGGCACAGAGTGACGCAGCAGGGCTCAAAATTGTTGTATAATCTATACTCCCAGCGTGTGCAGAGTTTACGCGAATGCAACAGTCTCGCGGAACCAGCCCATCTTAAACGAGTTGGTTCCTCATGACACGCAGGAAAATCGGTAGATATATAGTTGTTAGCTATGCCGCCCGAAACCGTACAGAAGGCAGCACGGCTTGTATCGGCACACGCAACAAAGACACCAAGCTAAAATACTCTCTGTGAATGTTCACCAACCGTTGTAGCTATATCCACAGTTGGTCGCTCCCGCTCGCCAAGCAAAATGCATCTTCAATTCTTGGCGAGCCCGCTGTTGTTGCTGCGAGTTTATTCGTCCGTCTATGTGCGACACTGCAACTTACAGTCTGAGGAGAGTGTTAGCTAGCTAGGACAGATGAACGGTTGGCTATATTATACGTAGTTACTTTTCCGGCCGAAAAATCGTGATTGCTAGCTATCACTAATTACACGCTAGCTACAAACTTCTTTTAGTCCTCACTTGGGCCGTCAAATACAATTCGAAGATCATGCGGAAGCGACGGGTCTTCTTTTTGAAACAGTTCTTTGAGTTCCCCGACGCTCGTATCCTGTCAAAAGATAACAGTTTGGGGCTGCAGCCGTGTTAGGTCTATATAGAAAATGATCTTACCCGTCCATTGGGTAGTTGCAATATGTGCCTGTCACTGGAATATCTCACAGCTACTCTCCAAAGCATGGTATTCTTACAGAATTCGACAGTTATTGGCACAGCAGTGCGTCACAATCCCCTTTATAACCCTCGGCGCGCATGCGCAGCGAGGGGTTTTACGAGGGGGAAGTGGCGATTTATTCATGCCTGACCCCTGCCAAATGCAATATTGTCGAAGCTCTGTAGAATGTTAAAACGGAGTCACAAACTTTTCAACACACCTCACTCAGCTTTTTTGACGCAGCAAGGGTAATTTGCTAGCTGGCTATTGTTAACATTCTCAGGTTCCTTTACACCCTGCATGGTTGACTGCGATAAGGCTGTACCTTTCCTTGTGGTTTCCTTCATTCCATAGTAATACTATACCTTTCCTTGTGGTTTCCTTCATTCCATACTTATTGGAATGGAGGAAACAAGGAGGAATAGGCCAGCATTTGCCTCTTTTGTATTATCCATGTAAAATTAGTGACAGCTTCTATGCAATGGTGAAATGCAAGTAATTATTTTCTAGGAGCCTAGCTACCTATTCTTTGAAACAATGGACACTGGACAACAAATTTTATTACATGTGAAAGTATATTAGTCTAAACATCTTTTCTCAATAAGGCTTGTATAAAATCCAGGGTTGCTACACTCCACTGAAGTGCTTCGTGCTTCCCTCACTTCTTCAAGTCAAAGGTTATTAGAGCTAGATCAGACTATTCCTCAATACTTTTTGAGGCGCAATAACTATATAGTTGTGACAGCAGCTGGAGTAAATTCTCCAAAATAACAATATCAGATGGCTGAGGAGATGTATTTAAAGACCGTTACAAAAATCAGCAAGTACCGAGGCAAGGTGTCATAATAATAATGCCAGTGACACCCACCAGGCCACTAACTATAAATGTTGTTTGACGGTCCAATTGTCCCGACCGTCGTACACATACAAATTCACGGAATAGCACTTGCGATCGCATGCCATTTGAATTTGTTCCTCGCGCTTTTTAGGCCAGCATGTCTGTCTGTTTGAGGAGATTTTCTTGAACATTACTGTTATGTTCAAGAAAATCTCCCCAGACACACAGATAGACAGACAGACACACAGACACACGCTGCGCATGCACGCAGGTGGAGGGTTAAAAAGGCCTGAGGAAAAGAAATTAAAATCTATTCTACTAGTGGAAATGCATGGCATTCTTTGGGCGAGCGGAGCGAGAACTCACAACCATTATCATTACTAGCGATAATATTATAGCTACCTATATACTCTACAGGTAAAATGTTTCAGCAAGTAACAGACGTTATTTTGGTGTTGTCATATTAGGTTGAGTAAGGCAGCTTGTGCATTATAGTGAAACTAGACCAGAAGAAAGTAGCAACGGAAAGGCAATGTGCCCGCTCCCCCTCTCCATCTCTTAATCGTCGCTGAAAAGACGAGCATCTCTGCCGTGAGGACTTTCGACGGCCGGGCGTTCTGTCTGTCTGCCTCTTGAAACAGAAGCAGTATCGTTGCCTTGCCCGCTCTCGATCTCGTAATCGCCCCTGAAAAAGACGAGCCTCTCTGTCGTGAGGACTTTCGACGGCCGGGGCCGAAGACACGATTCTCTGTCTGTTTCTCTTCGATGAAGAACACTATCCTCCGCGGATGAATCCATCTCCTTCGAAGCCAACTGGACTACCTTCGAAGCCAACTGGACGACTGTAAGAAGATGGAGAAAAATTCCGCACAGTATTTCGTATAATAAGAAGCGCGTAGTAGTAACGCATGCGCACTAAGACGACGATGGTGCGTCGTATAGAAAATTCGAGCCGAAGACACCACTAGGGGGGCTCGCTCCGCTCGCCCAATTATATTTTGATTCCTGAATTATCTGAGATATGTGCTCAACTTTTTGGAGTTTATCCTAACATAACACAATTTTATGGCACCCTTCGTAGCGAACATATTGATGATTTACAGACAGAACATTCACTTAACCATACCAACTTCTTCGACCTAGTATACTTGCCATTACACATAGCTATATAGTCCCATGGATAAACAATTATATATACAAAATAATGGTGTGCAAAGAAATTATTTCCGAAATTCCGAAATATTCACATTGCGGATGAGTTCCCACAGCCCCAAAATATTCCCATATATGCCAAGCAATATTAATGCGTTTGGTGCACTCACTCCTCCTTGTCTTCTAACTGGCCGTTGTTGAACTACAGTATTATTAGGATCTAGGTGTGGAATGGTTCAATGTCAAGATGTATTTTGTGTAAAGGCATTTTTTATCAAAACCACGAAAAATTTAACCTGCTTTCCAACATATTATAATATAACTAAACATATCCCACCAAAGCTCTGGTTAATAGCAGACTACAGAAGATGATCTCATTAATACGATAATCCAGAATAGACTGTTACACAATAATTTATAGTGTAAATGCACTTTCAGAACTGTTTCCAGGAATTCTGTGAATCCTAACGCAAATGGCATGCACCGATTCTCAAAAGTAAACCTTCGCCTCAACACTATAGTAGATGCTGTGGAGATAAATAGCTAATGAAAGGTTTACAGTGCAAGAAACTGAATTCTTTCCATGGTTACAAATAAAAATCCCTTACGAGTGCCGGTAGACGCTCTATGTAAGGATGACACGGGTGGAAATTCACGTGATCGCGTACAAAACGACCTTTCGCTGAACATCTCCAAATTCTCGGAGGTGTGCACGGAATCAAGCGATCGTTTCTTTCTTGCGGAAGTCACTACGTAGATCATGGAGCTCTTCCATGGGCGACACTGAACAACGCCATCATGCCGGCACATTCCCCGTACATTATGGTATGGGTTTCTTGTTAGTGTTTCTGTCCAGCAATTTCTTCATGTCCTGCATTTCGGAACAGTGTCCAGTAAAATAAATTACATGGTTGGCAGTATGCTCAGTGCCTCTGTAAGTAGGTGTGCACATTCCAACTAGCTATATAGCTTGCTGTTGATTAGCATAGAGGGGCAACTTAGCAGAGTCTGCGCGGTTTTACGCGAGCCTTGCAGGGCACTCAAATGGCCTTCGTGTTCGTCCCCCGAGGTTGTATCCTGAGTAACCAAAGCCTGCCCATGAAACCATAACCATGTGCAATAACCTAATGACATCCATGATTGAAGACAAGACATGGGGTGAATGCGTTATCTAGCCCCTGCTTTAGGCACTAGCAGCCCATTAGCGACAGTTAGTTTGTCTATGGTAGCCTATCTATCACAGTGTTGAATGCAGTGTTATCATAAGCTGTTAACAATAGTGGAAACAAGTGGAAAAATCATTTCTTCAAAATGAAGGGGGATATAGGGATGCCTTGAAGCACCAAAAAGTAAGAAAAAGGGACATTTACACAGCAAAGATGAACAAAGCTACATGACACCATCCCTATATCTTGTTTATGTTTATAAGCAAATTTTAATATCGAACAGATATAGGGAGTGGCGTCATGTAACTTTGTGCATATTTGGTGTGTAATGACCCCTTGTGTTCTTCCTTTTTGGTGCTTCAAGGCATCCCTATATCCCCTCCATTTTGAAGAATTTTTTCCACTTGTGCAATAGAAGTCCACTGGACCTAAATTACAGATGTGCCATATTATGTACTATATATAGGCGAAAGCAGGTCATTTTTGGCGAGCAAGAGCGACACTATAACGTAGTATGCAAGAGCCCCACACTTACAATTTACAGACCAACTGCGCTACTGTGTATATAGACTAAAATAATACTGCTATATCTATAAGGCTTGAGGGTGTATATTTCGTCTCCATAAACTTTTTTTTGAAAGTAAATGTTATGATGGCAGTATGCAAACAGACTTTTACAGAAATGAATTTTGTTTTTCTAAACAAGACTTTTGCAAAGTTAAAGTGTATGGGTTAATCAGCTAGCTACTTCTTGGCATTTGTTACTTATCTCTCAGCAATGGCAACACATGTGGAGCTGAAGAAGCGTTATCGCTCTAAGAGAGTCCTGCTCAGAGATAACCAACCGATGGCAAACTCCAACATACTAGAGAATGGTACAGAAAGTGTCATTTCGTGGAATTGGTTCCAGACGCATTCTGCTCATCATGGCATGGGAATTTATCATCAGCTGCTCACTGGGACTCATGTCAAATGAAATGCAGTACCTTCACTCCAATTAGAAGATAAGGTACCGTTTCTCCTTGGATGTACAGGAAAAAACTCTCATAGGCATTGCTGCACTTTGCATCTCACTGCCAGTTGTAACTTCTAGCAGAGGTGGTTATCAGCCGTATAAACTTGTCAGCTGGTCTCTGAAGGCAATGTGGTTCCTTCCATTGTGGGTTCTATCATCTCAATATGTAAAAAAGGCCTGCCTGTGCCAAACAGCACCCTGCACACTATCAGCTGTTTTTGTTGATAGTACCACAATATCTGCTTCTAGGGTGTTTTTAGCCAGTGCAATCCATTAGGAATCGATCAAATTAATGGTGGTTCAAAATATGAATATCTGTGCCTTATACAGTGGTCTCTTTGGGTATTTTAGTGGTGAGGCTATCCTATTATTAGGCTGTGCTTCAAACATGCATACACTTTAAAGCAAATGAAATCAGGATAATTCTTTCACTGCTGCCAGTCCTATGCTCTTGTGGGACTCATTTTGGACTTTGTTTCCACCACAAACTGGTGAAAGAGCCAGTGACTGTCAATCCAGTGAGTCTTATTTCAAAGTCTGAAATATGCAGCAAAGCACAAGTATCCAGTCAGAGAAGTGCTTCACATACTGTGAAAATGAACGGCCGACAAGACTGGACTATGGCAAGTCAAAATATGGTGGACCTTTCACCACAGAGCAAGTGGAGGATGTAAAGACCTTCTGGAGAGTCCTACTGGTTATAGTAGTGATTCAACAATCCATATATCACTAATGGCACAGTTTGAATCAGTCTCAGTCATGGAGAAAAACTCAGCGTCATCAGTATTCACACACTGCTTCAAACTGCTCATATCCCTATTCAGCCATCGTGATCTCAATACCACTGTATGAGCTATCATCTACACATGTCTGAGAGAAACCGACCGGTTCCCAGTATCCTCAAGTCTGCTGGAATGGAGCTGCAGCTGTAGTTGCTGCATCATTCTATGGCACTATGGCAGGATAGCAAGACAAGCACTGATGGTACTACTAAGTGTATGTTTACACAAAATAGTCCCTACAACATGCACGCTTTGGTGATTTTGTTTGCATCCCTTTCAACGACATCCTCGGAATAGCAAATGTATTACTGGTTAAATCTAGCATGATTCATCTGTGCACAGGCACCATACAGCATGAACGTCTTTCTCATAGGACTTTCATACCAATACTTACTCTGTTTTTGGTACCTGAGGATTGATAGTTGAGGCATGGAGGAACAAATGGTTTGCTATACTGGGCCACCAGTACATGTGGTATCTGGTTTCTACCTGAGCACACTAGTATTGGCAGTGGTGTCATCTGCTCTACTGGGCT